TGCTCTGGACTGTTTCTCTCGAGTGGTACCGCTATGCGCGCACGCACGCTCGTCGACGGCGGGGCGAGCAGCGTTTCCCTCGGCCGCGGCGAGGCGAGCGCGAAGGAGGGGGAGGGAGCGCCCGAGGCCGGCGGACGATTGACCGCCCGATGAAAATCGCGCGGCGCTTCTTCGGCCGCGGGGCGCTCGGCGGAGAGGCGCCTGCGCGCGCTTTTCGCATCCGCCGCGTGCAGGGCTTCGACAGCCGCTGTCGCGCGCGCACCCGGCCGCTCCAAATAAAGCGCCCGCGCGAATCCTCTCTCTCTCTCTCTCTCTCTCTCTCTCTCTCTCTCTCTCTCTCTCTCTCTCTCTCTCTCTCTCTCTCTCTCTCTCTCGCTCGCTCCCCGCGCCGGGAATATTAATCCTGGCGGGTGTGGCCTCGTTCGGCTCGCGGCTCGGAGCCTCCCTCTCTTTGGTACCAAGTGGCTTCTTCTTCCGATACGCAACGATGGCGCGCGATCAATAACGATATGTCTGGCCGTCGCGCTCACCGAGCCTCCTCGGCCGCGCTGCACGAGCGACGTGCTATTTCCGACGCGACGCCCTCGCCGCCATCGATTGCTCGACGGGAGAAACGTCTTCGCTGGGAAAGCGCGCGCGACGGCGATTTCTATCCGCTGCCTCGACCGGTTGAGCGTTGCGCAAGCGCGCGCCTGCGTGCATCGCGTCACCCCATCGATCGCGCGACGCTGCTCCGCTTGCACCAGAAGATTCCGATTGCCCTTGGCGCATTCCTGTCGGCGCGCGCGCGCGCGAAACGACGGCAGCAGCCTCGATCTCCGAGCGGTGCCCGTTCGCCAGGCGCTCTCCGCCGATTAGCGATGAGGCAACGAGCACCTGCGCGCCGGTATCACGCGGACCAAAGGACACCGACGATCGTACCATTTGTCGCCGACCTTGCTCGCGCGATAAAAGGCAGGCGGCAAAACAATGTGACTCACGAGTATTTATTGCGAAATTGCGCAATGCAAGCTCGCTCTCTCTCTCTATTTTATCGGTCAATCGATTGGCCAGCACACCGAGTTACGAAGATGGGCGATCGAATCGCCAAAGTCCGACGTGATCGCGCAAGCGAGCTGGGGGGGGGGGGGGCACTCACCGCGCGCTCGCATATCTTTCGCGTCGGTCCGGTGTACGAGACGCGAACAACGGCCTGCATTCTCCGTGAGGGCACGCGCACGTGCGAGATGACGAAAGGATGAGACAATGGAGGCTGTTCAACGCAATGCAACGCAACGCAACGCAACGCAGCGCGAGAAGCGAAAGGACGCGCGGAGCAAAGCGTGCAGGCGTAATTTCACGTGGAGACCCGCGCGCGCACACTGACCTCCAGCGATCGACTGGCCTCCTTTTTTGCGTGACACGCGTCGCGCCTTATCGACTATCTCGCTCTCTCTCCCTCCGCTAGGACTCGGTAGTCGCTCTAGCGCTTTTGCCGATTGTCCTGCGCGTGGCGTTGCGCAAGTAAAGCGATCGCTACGTCATCGGCCACTTGGCAATGATAGCGTTTCTTTTCTTCCTTCGGGCCGCGACGGACGCAGCGAAATACGCCGCCTTGATGGTTTTTGCGCGCTCGCGTCGCTCGGCCGAGTCGTTCTTCGCGAATGCAATAAGTAAGAAAAGAGAAAAAAACGGACGAGGAAGGCGGCTCGAATGTAGGTCGAATTTGCAAATAAAGCGCGAAACGAGAGATAAGATAAAAGGCGCGCGTGACGAGCGAGGCGGGCAGAAGCCGGTAGCCGCTGCTACCACACATGACGGTCACAGTCGCCACCTGGCGAACGGCCTTCGAAGACTTTTCAGTCGTCGGTCGGAGCGCGCTCGCCTCTCCTTTCGCCGCTTTTCCTCTCTCTCTCTCTCTCCCGAGGTCGGACGGGCGCTCGCTCGCGCCTCGTTACCGCAGAAAGACGCTTTCCTTCGCGGCGCGCGCGCGACGGCCAGTAGGCGCCGGTTGCGCAACGCGGGCAAACGCGAGCCGCCGGCCGCCACCGGGCACTCTTGAGTCGTTCCTCGTCTTCGCTCGGTTCGCGTCCCCGCGGCGAACGCGCGACATCGCAGAGAGGAGCCGTGCACCCCGACAGCCAACCGTCAGTGGACTTTGAGGGGGAGCCTTTGCGCGATCATTGGTAACGTTATACCTGTGATTTGTCGAGTCGTGAGAAGCGGAGCGTCGACCTCGCGCGGGCACGCAAAAGCCAACAGCAGAAAGGAAAGGAGAAACGAGGCAAAGCGGGAAAAACGGGGGAAGGAAGGGGCCGGGCTCGCGGCGTGACGCTTCCAACGGGACTTCGAGGAGCGCCGAAGGAAATCGAGAGCGTCGCTCGGGCGCACTTTCGTTTTTGCTCGGCGCGCGCGGCCTCTGCGTTACGCGTGGCTCGGCTCGCGATCGAGCGAAAGAGAGCCGCTGACGATTCGGCGGTCTTTCAAACCGCAAGTCGCGCGCCACGCCGATTCGCGTCAACTTGTCGCGGCGCGCTCTCGGCCCTTTTGGCCTTGCTTTATTTTCGAGAGCCCTGCGCCCGCTCGGACCGTCGGTTACGCGCGCGAGATTCCCGCACGTTCGAGCTCGCGAGTCGCTCGAGTGCAGCGTGACGTCGTCGAAAAATAGAAATATCGACCGCGTCGAAAAAGAGCCGCGCGGCATATGGGTCGCGACGTCGCTGAACTCCGCGCGTCGACTTCTCTTTCGTTCGTCCGTACGTTCGTCCGCCGCCGCTAGCCGTGCGTATCAATAATAACGGGCTCTCCTTCGGTCACTCTCTCTCTCTCTCTCTCTCTCTCTCTCTCTCTCTCTCTCTCTCTCTCTCTCTCTCTCTCTCTCTCCGCTCGCGCATATCCAACAAAGTGCGCCGCGTTCTCATTGCAGGCGCTGCCTACGGCTCGTCTTTTCGATCCCCGATGGCCAGTGCCAATCAGCAGACCGCGCTGCAATTGTTCTCAACGGACTTCCCTTCGTCTCTGTAGAGCAGCAAAGCAACGCGAGAATGCGTAATGAGACGATCGGTGGACGGACACTGCGATTTGCCTTGCGTTCGATCGTTGGGTTGAATTTTTGCTGATATTTTTGAAGAAGCCACTTTCGACGAGGCTGTCGTGGGACAAAGCCGACGGCAACCGTCGTTGCGCGACTCCGACGCTCGAGACTCGCGTGAAACTCGATTAAAATTACGGCCGTGTTGTTGCATTACTCGCTGCGATCGTCGGCGAGTGTACAGTTGAGTCATTCGTGCGCCAACCGAGCGGCCAGCGAGTCAAAAAATCACGCGGCAAGAGCTCACGGAGCTGCCCGGAAATCGAGCGAGCGCGTGCGGCGAATCGGACGAAAACCCGACGACGGGGAGGGGCGAGACGAGGCAGCGCAGGGTGTCGCGCGCGAAAGCGCCCCACCAGCGCGGGCGGAGGACGCCTACGGCTGCGCGCGCGCGCGCTCGGCCTCCTGCAGCCGAAGTAGGCCGCCGCCGAGGCGGTGCCGCGGCGCTGGCTCCGGCGGTCGGGCGCTCGAGCGAGCGACTGGCCGGGCGCGCGCGCGCTACCAGCCGGCGTTCTCCACGGCCCGGAGCGCGAGGGTTCGCGCGCCGCCGCCACTTGGCGCGCCACGAGTGCAACGAACCCGAGAGTCGCTCGCCGCTCCCCGCCACCGCCACCGCCGGCCCGCTCTAGCTTTCACCTAGAGCGCCGTCCGCGCGCGCTCTCCGATGCAACCCACCCTCCGCAGTTTCCGCGACTACGCCGCGCGGCCAGCAAGCACCGCGCGCTCCCGTTCGCGCGCCGCGCCACGCTGGCTTTGCTTGCCCGCTCGCGAACGCTCGTACGTAGCCCGAGAACGCCGCGAGTTCACTGACCAGCCGCAGTTCGCAGCGGCAGATAACCTAATAATCTATTGCCTTCGCTGACGCCGAGTATATTAATAGACGACCACGGCGACGAGCCGACGCGCCCGAGGCGCGCTATCGTGCAACGCGCGGAGCGACGACGATCGCGCGCTGCGCCCGTGTGCTCTAGTTTGGCTCTCGACGAAAATCCGCCGCACCGTTTTCGCGGCGCGCCGTCGCTCCTCTGCCAATCTCCAGTGCAAGCGGTTACCCGAAGGACGTTGTCGCCTTCGTCTTCTGTCGCTCGCCGTGGATGACGTAACTGACGTCGAACTCGCCGAACCCGACGCGAAGCTCGAGCGCGCGCAGGCTCGTGGCCCGTCGTGGACCTTCGATGCCCTTGTGGTGCGCGATCGTCCGCGAGTCGTCGAAAAAGCCCAGCGACGGATTCGTCGTCGGATGTACGTCGCGCGCGAGCAGCGCAGCGACCATTGGCTCGTCTGTCTGTCTCTCTCTCTCTCTCTCTCTCTCTCTCTCTCTCTCTCTCTCGAGCGCGTGCGTCACCGCGCACGTAACACACGTGCGAACAAAAGCGACGTTACGTGCTCGCCTGACCATCCGCGGGTGCGATCGCAGTAACGTTATCCAGCTGTCGCGATCCTGTACTCGCGTCGCTTATCAACGCTTGCGAAACCGCGAGCGCGCAAGCAGCGCGGATGACCTCCGATAAGCTCACGCTCGACCGACCGTCGTCGCACCTTGTTTCTCGACGACAGGTCACCGGCAGTTTTTACTTCCTCACCTCGAACCTTCCTCCCTGGCGACAAGCAAATGTCTACCGATCGTGCATTTGCTAATATACACATACAGATATATGATATATAAATCTCTTTCGATTGCTTGCGCGTTCAGGCCTACGCCTCGACGGAGCTCTAGGTTCTGCCATTGCAAACTCTCAGATGGGTGTGAGTTGTCGTGATTATATCGCTAATGCTAAATGGAAGTGGCGCTTATCGACGAGTAAAAGTATTGGTGTCCGCGCATAATCAACAAACTACCGCAATGACTTATTCAAATGTGTTTACAACGTCTATCGTAATCAACGACACGAGCGCTGGACTGACTTGAAAAAAAAATTTTCTGTTGCAGCCTAAACAAAATGCACGCTATGGACGGCAGCGCAGTTGGTAAGAATTCGTCCGGTGAGAAAGGCCGCGGAGCCGAGGACGACGAGGAGTCGCGGAAATCACCGAAAGTACCGCAAAGCCAACAAAACGGAGCTGCTCTACCCGAGGAGGCGGCCTCCGCCGATCGTAATCTCATTCACTGCCAACCTCCCGCTGTCCTCGGTAGAAAGGACAAGAAGGACATCGATTCCAACGACCACGACTCACAGGTCAGTCATAACGACATTGAACGCAATCGAAATACGTGAAATTTAGTTACGTAATTGTCGATCGTTGTCGCATAAAAAGCGAGATTGCGTGGAAAGCACCACGTAAACAATGAAATCGAATCAGTAGCCTGTCGAGGTTGCCCTCGGACTTTCACGAGTAAAGCGAATGCACGTTTGTTCCCCAGTCTGCAATCTCCAAAGCTTCGAAGCAGCAGACAGAGCAAACGACGCCGAGCAAAGCAGGTCGGCCAAGTAATCAGCGCGGCAGTGGGACCACCACCAGCAGCGGCAGCGCCAGCAGCACAATCAAACAAACCCAGCAGCAGCCGGAAGATTTGCGTGATCCGCAGAGTCTTCGTGAAACGAGGAAGCGTCGAGCGATCGATTCCCAAGGCGCCAGCTCCGCCGCGGCAGCAGCGAATGGCAGCTCGTCGCCCAAGAAATTGTGCCTCGACCAACGAGAGCAGTTCATCAACAGTCTCATGGGCATTTCGGACAAATTCACCGTCGATCAACTGTCCGCGAGAGCCGAACAATTGCGCGTCGAGGTGCAAGACTTGGACGAGCTTGCGCGCGCCAAAGAGATGGAATGGAATGAGATTCTCAGCATGCGCAAGCTCAAGGAGGAGGCTTATTTGCGGCTGGAACGTCGACGGCAAATTTTGGGCTTCATGGAGGGTAACGGCTCCGAGGGCATTCTGCCGCAAGCGAGTCTTGCACTTCTCCAGCAGAATTTCGATCACAGAGGATTGCTGATACCCAAGGAGGAGTCGAAACGCGACAGGGCTTCCAAAGCCGCTACGTCGATATATCAACAAGCGGCTAAACTCGAGAACGGACCTAGGATCGACCCGCAGAGCTTGGAAAATCGTCAAATCGGCGAAGGTAGACAGGGACCTATCGTCGATGTCAGATCGATCATTGCCGACTACAGATTGAGGCATCCAGAGACTGTTCCTAGGCGGTAAGTACGATAAGCTTCGATTGTCATTCCTGTAAGATAGTCAAGAAATTCACGAGCCGTTTTTCATCGATTTGCAGTAGAGGTCGTCGAATGAGAAACTCGGTGAACGTGGGCCTTGGAGCCGGTGGTGCCATGGTCGAGACCGTTGGCAATATGGATTCCAGACCCTCGAGTACCGACTCGTGCAAGAGCAATCCTAATATAAACGACCCTAACAATACCATGAGCTTCAAGGACGTTCTCGTGCAATTCGCTAAATTGAGTCAGCAGCAAGGTAAGACTGCTTTTCACGGCTCACCGTTTCCTCAAGATGAACACGTATAATGTCATTGTACATATCATTATTCGCACAAAAAATCATTATACAGAGCACTCGTGTATATTATGTGCAGGTGAACCGATAAAAACGCCTCAAAATTATCCAGACGTAACGCTGCATCCGGTTGCAGCGACGCCTATAACGCAAAATTCCACGTCGCAGCAGCAACAACAGCAACAGCAGCAGCAGCAACAGCAGCAGCAGCAACAACAACAACAGCAACAACCGTCGGGTTCATTACTTCACGGTATCCTCACAAAATCTCAGTCGCCAAGGCCGACGACATTTTCGCCGACGCTTGCCAGGTTACTTACTGCACCCGAGAGAGAAAGAGGCGCACCCGCTATCACGCCGACATCGCACCAGACTGCCACACAGCATTTGTTGCAAGCCTATCAGGGTGCAAACCCTGTTTCCATTAGTGATTTCTTGTCTTCGTCAAAGGTATGTTAAATAACGTTTCGTTGATATTCATAATCTAATTATAAACGTTTTTACAAATGGAATTTTATATTAATATAGATTTATTCTTATTTCAGGCTCGCACGGAAATCACAATAACTCCAGTTGTTAATAATCCTATCCAAACTCACTCCAATAATGCAATCCACGTTGTAAGCGATTCATTTTTCTAAATTTAATATGTAATCAATTTATGAATGTGTCGTACTTGAATCTCATACCTGTTATTTTTTAGGATGACGTAGAGGAAGAGACTTCAATAATTGAAGAAAGAGACTCGAGACTTTCCATAAATACTAGAGATAACAGAGACGACAGAGATAGCCCACCACGTTGCCAAGGCTGTCATGAACGTGCAGCACAGTTTGTTTGCGCTGGTTGTGGAAATCAGTGGTATTGTAGTCGCGAATGTCAGGTAAATGTTTATAAAAACTATTATTTACTCTTCATTTTATTTTCTATTCACGCATTTGTATTATTCCGATGATTTATTTTCAGGTTGCAGCTTGGGATGACCATTCAGATGCTTGTTCGCCATAGAGAAAGGCTAATGATGATAATAATAATAAGCCCAATATGAAGTTGCAAGTGAATCTAGTCAAGAGAAAGAAATTGAGAAGGAGGATACAGGTTTGGAAGTGAAATAGAAGAAGGACGTAATTGTTGGGCGTGGTACATATATTTTTGTGGATTGTATCGTGCGTGTGATTAAACTAGCTCGTCATATTGCGAAGGACCATATTTATGTCGAGTGAAGTTAAACTTCTAAGCACGTTTTACCCCGTAACATTAGAAATTTTTTCGTGAGCGTTCGTTAAATGTGTATTGATTTTTTTTTTTTTTCGTTTTATTCGCATTATCAACCGATGTGATCAGTTTTATATTTCGAAAATCTAAGTAGCTTCTTAAGCCAAAAAAGCAAAATAACGTTTTTAGTTTATATTTCATAATATGTATAAACTTTATGGTATTTAGAAAACATTAAATCGCAAGGGAACGATTTACAAATCGCAGAACCATAGTTTAATGTTGTAAATAATTTTATATAAGATTACTGATTTCCGCGTTCAGTTTATGAAATTTCTGAGCGTTGGTAAACAAAGTGCCATGTGTAAGATTCGCTTTTCTTTTTCCTTCAATTAAATATCGAAACACAAAGACTTCTAAAAGCTCAAGTGCAAGTAATTTTTCCTTTACTTTGATTATTTTATTAAAAGGTTAGTGTATATTTTTTGACTACATAACTAAATTATGGTGCACATGAACAATTTGATATTTTTTTTAAGTTCACAATAAGTTTTCTTTTGATTCAATCTGACATCTTGTATTTTTTCAAAAGTGTTGATTTTACAATGGAAAATATTGTTTTCAATATAGAATTTTACTTTGCCAATCTAATTTTTAAGTTTCTTATTATTGCGTGACAAAACACGCACTCGTACCAAACAGCTATTTTATACCATATTTGTTACCAACGTAATAAATTAGAAATATCAAACATTAGCCTTAGCATAGCTTTTAAGAACTTTTTGTAAAATTGTTGATGATATGTTACTGACGTTGAATATTCATTAAAAGCGTCAAATTATTTCATCGACAGTTGCCCCAGACATAAATCTGTAGTCAAAAGTTCCTACAGGTATACATATATACATTATATATATTTTTCCCATTTATGAGCAAACCAAAATAAAGTTTTTAATCGTAAAATTATTCATTCGTTTGTCAAATTTTTTCCTAAATGATAAAAAATATTTTATTACGTAAAATTTTCATGTTAATTTGTTGAAGTACTATTATTTAGTTACGTATATTCTAATCTACATTTATAATAACGCTGTTGGTATTTTAAATGTTTCTATGATGACTCTGACTCCGGAGTTAGAGATAGAAATTTGAATTTTGAATCAAATATGATATAGATGGCACTAGTTAACCGTCAACTGATTCTTGTTATTGTTTGGATATTACGCTGTTTACGTAGTGATAAGTGCCGAATTATTAAATTTTATCAGTGTGTTATTCGTAACATTTCTTTAAAAAACATGTCTTGTTCACAAAATGATCACGCGGAGTTGATAACTCTTGCTGAACTAGCAGGAATACATGCTAATCCAGCAGTGTATAGGTAAGAAAAATGTCAATTTAACCTCAAAAGTTGTTCTAACGTCGCTTTTATTATCAAAATATTTATATGGTTTACAGAATATTGATTGAACTATTATCATTGCAACTTCCTCCACAAGACATATATGTGTTACTTAAACAAATTTGTCCTCAACAAAAGAAGAGACTCTCAAGTACTTCAAAATCAAAACCTAAGGGATAAAAATTGATATAGCACTGATTATTAAAATATTGTTTAGTAATTTATTTTTATATAAACTTTTAATTAAATAAACTGTTAAAAATAGATATGATAGTGTAATAGTAGTAAACAATTATTTTTCCTTATAATGTTCTTTGCCATCTATAGCAAATTTATTTGCCATTTCATTCCCGTATATTCCTTGATGACCACGCACATAGTTCTAAAATAAATAACTGACTATAGTTATAATTTTTTATAAAAGCAATAAGAAAAGATATTTAAAAAAATACATACAAATATTACTTCTAGTGGTGACAAAGCTTCTTCCATTTCTATGAGTTCTGCTTTATTAATCACAGGCTTACCTTTAGCTGTGCGCCATCCATTACTTTGCCATTTAGGCATCCATTGAGTCTTACATTTAATTAAAAATTCAGAGTCAGTACTGATTTTTAATTTCGTGATACCAGCTTTGCGTGCTTGTTTGGCTGCAATTGTAACAGCTTGAATTTCAGCCATATTATTTGTTGCTCTGCCCATTACAGGTTGAGATACATTACTGAAAAGTAGAATTTGAGAATATAGTCATCAAAACATTATTTTTTTACGGCAATAATTAATTTCATACAAAAATATCATTGATAACATTAGTGAATATTTTTACTCACTAAGAACAGTTATCAAAAAACCAAATTCCAATTCCAGCTTTGGAATTACCTCTACCATTTAAAGTACATGCACCATCGGTATAAACTTCTGTGTAACCTTTGTCATCGATTATATAGTCATTGGCACCCTTATTAAATAACAGATGTTTTTTGAATATTCATACTCTTTACATACCTCAGATTGTGAAATTATTTCTGTTGTTTCGTACCTTCATACTAGATAAGTTAATTGATTTGTGATATTTTTTTTTCATTATAGAATGTGTATTTGCTTTCTTTGCAGTTGAGGTTTTAAAGCAACTAAAGGAAGCATTAGACTTTGATTTGATAAACTCTTCTGCTTCACTCTGTGAACTAAATTTTTTATAAATAGGACCAGGAAACTTGTAAACTTGTTCTTTGCATTCATCCCTAAATATAAAATTCATAAATTAATAATCTTACAAAAAAAAAGATAAATTAAAAATTAAATTACCAAGATCTGTATATTCCTGGGGTACGTCCATTTGCTACGGCATAGTAACTCATGATTCCACCAATAAAGTCTAATGAAGCCAAAAATTTTAATTCTAGGTATTTATGTGATACAGAGGAAAAAATTGTATACATGTATAACAGTATTAAAAACAACAATCACGTGTTACAATTATAAAACAGCCATTGATTCCTTTTTATTTTAAATAGTACAGACTATATTATTCATAATAAAAAAAACACATTAAATTAAGATTTAAATAAATTATTGTCTTTTCCATCATTTTATAATTTTTAAAAGTAAAAATTAGATAAAGAACTATAAATATATATAATTATACTCTCATTTCAGAAGATAATTCATAATTAAGTCAAAACGTAAATGGGAGCAGAACTATAGAGCGCCGCCATTTTTAAACGAGAGGAATGATCGAGATAGCTTATTTGATCGATGTTTTCGATTTCGAGTTTGAACATTGGTCGATGTTTTCGAATAGGAGTTTGATGATGAACGACAGTTCACAGTTTTCAGCTCGCATATAATAATATAAAAATAAATTCACAGTTCACAGTTCAGTTAAAAATGTTTGAGGGCAACATGTAGCTAACAAAAGAGGATTTTACATCTAATAAAATCATTGAAGAATTCGAGATTGGAGACAACACAGTGTACGTAATATGCAATTTTTTTCTATTATTATTAATTATATTAATTAATGTGCTTTGAAAATTTAATTTTTATTGTGTTGTATCACAGCGATATCGTTGGCTATGTTAAATTAATTAACACCAATGTACATTTGAGTAAAGCATATTTTATTTGTAAATATAGTAGAAATGAAAGTTATTATAAAGCTATTACGGATATACATTATTTATTTGAAAACGAAGGTAAGATTCTTGATGACTTTCCACAAATACAAAATTTAATGCAAAATTTTAGTGACTATTAATTGATAGGGTATACGAAAATACAGAAAACTATTCAACTATAGGTCATGAAAGATATGCAGAATTGAATGTAAAGCAAAAAGAAATAGTTGATAATATTTTGAATATTGTATTAAATGAAAATAACGATCAAATGAATCATTTTTATAAATGTTGCTACACTGTTACCTCAAGGAAAAACACTACATAAAATATTTAAATTACCAATATTATTTTCAGATTCATCATCAAATATAAAGTTAGAATCACATGAAGCTACATATTTAAAAGAAATAGATGTATTTATATGGGACGAAGCTCCTATGGCTCCAAGATATGCAATGGATGTAATGGATCGAATTTTACGTGATATTGTGGATGTTGATTATTTATTTGGTGGAAAAATAATTATTTTAGGAGGAGATTTTAGACAGTTACTTCCTGTCAAAGTAAACAGTACACGCAGTGAAGTAGTTGATTTGTCTATCAATCGTTTTTCATATTGGCAAAATATTGTTAAACATTCATTATCTCAAAATATGCGAGTTTTACCTCAAGAAATAGAATTCACAACATTTTTATTAAATGTCGGTAATGGAATATTGAACGACATTCATGATAATTTGAGTTTAGATAATATTCCTAAAAAATGTATTACAATATAACTAACAAAGTAGAAGATATAGTTGCTGATGTTTATGGTCATATATTTCATTGTAGACAATATAGTCAAGCAATTAATTATGCAATATTATCTGCACGAAATGTAGACGTTAATGAAATTAATGAAACAGTTGTAAATTTGTTAGATGAAACGACAGAAAAAAATTATACAAATATTGATAGTACTGAAAACTGTGATAATGAAGGATTTAATGATATTTTATTACCAGAATATTTAAATACTTTGAATTCCTCATCTCTTCCTCCGTATGAATTGAGACTAAGAATAAATTCCGTTGTTATGATTATTTGAAATCTTAGTATTAGTGAAGGTTTATGTAATGGTACACGATTAATGGTTTTAGAACTTGCTAGTAATATACTAAAATGTGAAATATTAACGGGTGATAAAAAAGGTGACATAGTATTTATTAATCGTATAACTTTACATTCATCAGAAACTAATTATCCGTTTATTTTTAGAAGACGTCAATTTCTTACTAAATTAGCATTTGCAATAACAATTAATAACTCAGGGACAAACTTTTGAAAAAATTGGAATAGATTTAAGAAATGATGTTTTTCGTCATGGACATTTATACGTTGCTTTATCTCGTGTACGGTCATGGGATTCTTTAAAGTTATATATTGATTGTTCTAATAAAAATAGCATAAAAAATGATGTATATGAAGAGTTATATTTATAATTTTTTTGATTTATATTAAAATGTTAATGATATAAAATTTGTTATTAATTTTATTATATAATATATTACGTTATATATTGGTACATAAATCGTAAAATAAAAAACAATCACTGTTGAGAAATATGTTTTAAATATATTATAAATCATATGTTATAGGTTAATTATTACGTCAATTGGCTAAGTCTACCACGTTTACGCGCGCGGTACGCGCGCTTAGTAAACTTCTAGTATACGTAAAGTTAGCAGAATAAAATGCAGGTAATACTGCAGGTGTGATGTTTACAAAAAGCGCCATCTAAGTATATTTTGGATTACATTTGAAAAAAATACACTGATAAAATAGAAACAATTCAATCAAATTAAACATTATTCATTATTAGTCATAATTAAGAGTTTATGTACATTTAATACAAACTTATGTAGTTATTATTAAGATGCTATTTCAAATATTTTACCACACTGGTTGTAGAAGACAGACTTTTTGGCTTAGTGTATTAATGACATTTTTTAGCTACCAATGATTTTAAGATTCAATAAAGTTTCAATGTAACCTACTATGTAATTTTTTTTTTATCGAGGAATATATCTTGTTCAATCTCCTTGTTCATTTAACAGTTGTATATAATATATGGAGACATGGAAGTACGCAGCACAATAAAGCAGCCAAACAATGAACACGAACAGTCGAACACTGACAAATGACTGGGCGTGGACGTCAAGAGTTCGTTGCCGCGCAAACAAGTCTTTTTACTAAACGTTTTTTTCATTTTTAGCTCTTCTACTTGCAAGTTTTATTCAATTTGTTAAAAATAAAGGTTTTATTATTAGAATATTTTTAGCAAGTAAAATTGCTAAAATTTTTTTAATTATCCAAAAAAGAATGTTAGTTGCAAAGGAATAAATTTATTAATTTTATTTTATACAAATACAAATTATATTTTTGAAGCTGTTTACAAAATTTATTTTTGTTTTTATCTCAAGCAAATAAAAAATAATCAACAAAAATTAACAAAAATGATGAAACAATTATCAAAATAATTGAAAAAATATCATTTTGAACCCCTCTTTGGTTATTTAGATATTAGGTTATCATATAAAAAGAACGTAAACAAGCAAAAAAAGTGGTTCTTACGTCTTTTAAAAAAATGGCATTTAATCTAACAATAAGTGACATTTTTATTCATACATAATGACCTTGGTCTATATACAGGAAAGAAACAAGTCGCAGTGAAGTCCTCAACATACAGTACATCTCTTTTATAGATGCAACTGCTACGAGATTTCCTTAAGCAGAGACATGTTGACTAAATTTTGCTTATAATTAAGGAGAATGTTATTATTCATAAATGTCTTCTTTGTCAGCAATGTAACGCACTATAGCACCTGGTGTTGTGAGCCTTTCTGCATCCATATCTGGTATCTCAAAGCCAAATTCATCCTCCATTGCCATGATAACTTCAACATGATCCAAGGAATCTAGACCAAGATCGTTTATGAAATGTGAGTCCACTGTTAGCTAAAAAATTTCATAAAACCAAGATTACAATTAATATTCATACTGTGGTATTACTATAGACATAAATGTACACAAGTTTCTCTCATATTTGTATTAGTTTATTTTTCTTATGCCATTTTAAATATTGAATAATATATAGTGTACATTGATGTCTTGAGTTGGCACCACGGTTCAAGCTAGGTGTTAGCCATTTATCCGTCTATTGAAAAAGATGCTTTGTGACGTTTTGCAAATTTAATACTATTCTTTTAAAATTTATGCTCAAAGGATTATTTCTAGTTTATCAGTGATAGCGAAGAAATAATTTAGAATATGAAAACGTCCATGCTAACATCTTCATCAGACGCTAATTGAAGGTAAATATATACCTTTGTAGCATCAATTTTATCATAGAGCTTGAGCACTAAAAGTACTCGATCACGAATAAAATTAAGTGTGAGCGGTGGTTTTTCACTGTACTGGCGCACCTGCTTGATCCGTAGGCCATCTACACTCTGAAAAATAAAAAACAAAAATAAATATATTAACCTTTTCAGCAGTAACTTTATCATAGGCAGCAACAACTTTTAAAACGCGTTCCTCAATTTCTTTTATTGAAGGCTTTTCCTCAACAGTGTGACCATACCTTCTAGATTCTTGGTTAATGACCTGTATGTATTAAGATAGTAGTTAGATGGAGGCAAGTAAATAACCTTGTTACAAGATGCGCCATTTATTTGTAACAATTGACTTTGAAAACGAATAATCTAGTTAAGATGTACAAAAACGCGATAACAAACAGCGTAAATGATCACGTGTGAGGTCAACATAAATGAACTTTCTCTAGAAACATCTTTTTAGGACACGCAAACTAAGAGTAATTACGAGATGGCAAATATTAGAATTTACGCGTACGATTAAAATGCGTATTGTCTCTCCGCAAAGTAGTAATAAACCGGACGTGTATAAAGTTTTCAGTTACATAATTGCTTGCAATCTGAAAATATGAGAGTATTATCGAGCACTCGGCAAGGGGGTCGGTAGTGCACATACAGTCATTATTGCTTACCATGGTGATGATCGGCGTGGACGTTTGCCTGATCGCATGGATAAGCCTTTGGTTGAGCTGACTAGCCACTGCTGATCTTAGGATGGTCAACCGGTTTGAGGTATTTCTTATTAAACCGGCGCTTCGCGCAAAGACACGGACACCCGCGATCGTCGCCATTTTTCGACCGAGCTGAAGGAAATTTATATAGACGACTAGGAAAGAGAGAACTGCTTGTTGGCAGCATGAACAAAGCGACAGTTATAGATGGGCATCTATCATTTGCACTTTGATTCTTCACTTATGATCTATCAAAGTAAGTTTGCTTGGAGCCTGCGAAAAAAGAATTGCCAAATATAAAATCATATCCCTGATATTTTTCATTTTAAGGTCTGCCTCAATTGTAAATTTAAGTCTTACATCAAGTGTTCATTTTTGCAATCATCTATAAATCTTAATTATTATTCATTTATTTAGATAATTAACTGATTGTAAAATTCATTACTGTACACTAAGCAACCTAAATAAATTCATTTAACAATCTTTTAGCTGTTCCGATTTCAAATGTAGAATCGAGTGTGCTACAAAATGTGCTTGCTAATGACTAAAAAAGTAAGTTCAAAGAGGAAGACCCATAAATCAACAGCATTTTATAACTCCGATCGATCAGCTAATGACTTTTACGATTCTTGCCGACTTTTCTTTCATCTAACTTCATGCTCGATTTCACTTCAAACTAATATCCATTCTGTAACTTATGTTAAAATTTTATTTTCATTAATATTCCAACTTCCTTTTGACCTCGCGTTTTTTAATTTGCCTCATTTTTGCCAATGATGATTTCTGATACAAATCGCTAGACTTGATTTAGACCGAAAGTTTGCATATTGATTGTAATGTATAAATAAAATTTACACAAACAAGAATAAATAAAACAGCGATTAATTAAAATAGAATCAAGGTATGATTTGTAAATATATTAGTTCGAAATAACAAATAAATTGTAAGACGCTTGGTAAAAATGGAAAAATTCCATTTAAACTCGGGAAAGCTAACAGCTTTTTTATTTGGTCCTAGTACTCTACTCGACTCCTCGACCATCTTCTCCTTATTTTTACGACTTCTCATGACTCGTATTCTCGGTTTGGTTTATCGAAAAAGTGGTTGATAAGACGCAGACGCACTCTTATTTCTTGATAGTTCTTGATACTATGTACATATGATAACCATACCTGAAAACTCGTAAAAATATGTCGTTTGCCACCTATTGCACAAATAATGCCTTTATGTGGTCAACTGTTATTATAATCAAAAAAACATTTGGATACGACGCATTGCTTGTAAATAACTACTTATAGCTTGTTTGTAATTTTATAAACTTCTACATTATTGTTGGCCGTAAAAGATGGTAATATTTATGGCTGTAGAAGGTTTTTAGATTCGATAATGAATCAAGTGATTTTCATTGAATATATAAACGAGAGTGTCTGCTTTGTATCATGTCGAACTGAGTTTCCAAAGAATGTCGCGCGTAAGATGAAAAAGCGAAAACAAAAAAACTTTTCAAAGCTTCCCTAAACGTTAAAATTTTTTTCCCGTTGTTGCTCTTTCGCGTGCGTACATTGAATTTTGTCATTAACTTTTTCTTTCACAGGCGTTAGTGTATACAACGGAATGTGCCGACATAGCAACGCAGCTGAACAAAATGAATAAAAAGTGGCTTAGGTCGTAAAAGACTAGCTTTCCGGGCAGGGAAGGGGTTGATGCACACGTGTGCGGTTGCTGTTCGTGCTTCGAGCGGTAACTGCAATTTTATTCCGAGATCGTCTCACTGGATTACGTTGAGTCAACTTTTCACGCGAAGTGAAGGTGATAGCTTTCATATTGAGAGCTGCGTGTAACATCATTTCTGTCGGATTGAACTGAGCAATTTATATTAAATCTGCAAAATGATTGTTCACGCCAACGTGTCATTGGTGTGGACCGCATACTGTAGCATATAGAAGGGGTAAAACTTAATGCCACACGCTTTGAAAATGCGGGAGGGGGGGACGAAAGTAAAGCTCATAGCGAAAAGTGATTTCTCAAGAATCACATTTCGCTCGATAAGAGGATAGAAGAAGCAGAATCGGCAAGCCGAAACGTCGCTGAGTAGCTGAAATCAGAAGTGCGTTGCGAGCCGGTGCCTAATAGACTGCCTACAGCACGGTGGGCATGTGGTCGTTGAAAAAACTTCGTGCAACAGAAACGTTTGTGATTGCCGAGCGTTGTTAATTTCGCAAATTTCTAGAAACAGGTGAGTTTTTCGTCTGTGCAATTTATTCTCAAATAAATTACATGCTTTATTTTTTTATGACGCAATCACCGATGTACGTTGATGTTCTATGTGGAACTAAAATTTGATAATAATCATTTAGGAACAGTTAATCGAACCAAAATTGAATATCCAAAGAATTTAAGCAATACCCTTTGTATACATGCACGTGTGCGAGAAAGTGATTTGAGCCGCGTGATAGAGTCAAATATCGTCTGCGTCAAGTAAATATACTATATCCTGTTACAATTATATTTGTATACTGTTATTACTTTGTTCTTTTTTTGCCTTCAAATACTTTTTGAACTAAAATTTATTTTTTATTTTTTACTTCCTACATAATTTATAATGCAAAAAATGTTTTGCAAATTATATATTATAATTATTCATCTTTACTCATTAAATTAAATATAATCACCTTTAAGTTTGATTCTTTTTCTATAATGATCTAAGGGGACCAGTTAAGATGAAACAGTGAACATTGAAAGTTTTCTTTGTTAGCTTATAAAAACCGCTCGAATAAAATGCCATTAAAATAATTTTTGTTCTTAAAGTACTTGAAATAAGCTGTAATTTTCTTGTTCGTAAGTTCTAAAATTTGAAATATACCGCCCAAATTCATTTATTGAAAAGATTTAGCGTTCTGCACGATCTTGAGTGTCAGAACGAACAAAAATCCTTTTCAGGAGGCATATTTTGTTTATTCGAACTTAGATTTTAATATGATCAATGGAGTACTTCTTCAATAGAACCATTTTTGTCATGTTTAAAAAGTAATTTATCGACAAATTATAAATTTTTTTTCGAAAAAAAACAAGAAAAAATGAGAAAAAACTACTTTATATACACGAAAAAGTGATTTCATTGAAAGAGTGCTGTAGTAATTTTTAAATTCAGATCCTAACAAATAAAACGAGCTCTCCAAAAATGATTTCGTTCACTCTGATGCTCCGGATCGTGCGTAATGCTAAATCATTTCGATGAATAAAGTGTTACGTTAATAGTGGTTTTCTGGGACGTATACTCAAGATTGTTAAACTTTCAACCAAGAAAATTAAAGCTTATTTTGAGTACATTAAGATGAAAAAAGTTTCATGACGTTATCTCGATTAAAACGCTTTCTGGAAGCCTATAAATAAAATTTCAATTTTCACTTTAATATTTGTTGATCTCTTAATAAACAAATGAATATTTTATTTCAGTCAGATTTGTTGTTTTACAATATATTTAAATCATGGAAGAATTTATAGTTGATAACGATGGTTACACAGTAGTATACACAGATAAAGCCTGTCATTTGAATAGTTAACCTGGTGCCAAAGCAGGAATTGGAGTTTGGTTTCATGATAATTCTTCATTGTAAGTAACTTTTTTTACTATGATTATTGCAATAAAATATAATTGCATACTGTTTTCAAATTTATAAATCTCTATATTATTTTTCAGCAATTTATCACTGCCGGTGACAGGAAGAGCAACAAATAATAATGCAGAGATACAAGCAATCACTGCAGCAGCCAATCAGGCCAAGCAATTGGTATTGAATTACTGAAAATTTATACTGACTCACAATTTTCCATTGACTGTGCCACAAAGTGGTTACCTATTTGGAAGGTAAATGGGTGGTGTACACAGAATGGGAATGTTGTCAATAAACAAGAACTTTTATTGATGGAAAAGTCTTTGACAAAATTAAAACATGTAAAATTTGTAAGTCTGATACAATTTTTAAATATTACTTGATACATCTGAAACATAGAAATTTGTTAATTGTTTTTTTATAGGTACATGTCAGAAGTCACCAGGGTGACTATGGTAACCAGCAAGCTGACCAATGGGCTCGTGCTGGGTAGGCTTACTACCAACAGTAATTTGTAGTTATTACAATCTCAAGATCATTAATTTTTACTTTTCTATATGTACCACAATATTCAGATAAGTTTCTCTGTAAAATTGAAATAATAGAAAAGGATGGCAATGATATGCTTCAAAGAATTGTTAGTTTTACAAAATTTCTAATAAAAACACTAAATTTAATATACTTTGAGAAAGTTGTTTTATCACATATATTACGTTGTTAAATTTTATATGAAAAATAAATGATTGTCTTTCCCTTTATTTAAATTTTGAGTTATTTGAATAATTGATTGCATGAAAAACAAAGCAATGAAATTATACATGATACAAATTGTACAATTGATAAGTATCCAACAAAAGAAGTTAAACTGAATTTGAAGTATAAAAATAAACTGCTATTTTTTAGCAAATTTATCGAAATGCTTTTCGTCGATGTGTCAACATAGAAAAAAAATATGAGTGAAACAAATATACCTATACCGAATTCACAAGCCTCTTCACAAAACACTAAAAGTTGTACACTACATGTTATAATGTATAACGGAAAATTTGAAATGTAGACGTCCGTTGAAAACAGAAGAAAGCAGAGTGACACGTGACTCCTCGTAAAGAGGAGAGAAGGGATCGGTCTGATCGGTATTTCAAACCCTATTGCTTCGTAGTCCTAGTACCGCGTTTATTCAGTTTTCAGTGTGAGCGCGAGAGTAGAGCACGTGGAGCCTGCAGGATTAGGCCGGATATCATTATTTTTTGTAACGGACTCGCTTATGTAAGAAATCAAGTTTTTAAACAAATTTAAATCCGATCAACTTGCATTTGTTATTGCTGTTTAATCGTTTCCTAGCAAACAGGTGAATAAATAATACTTTGCGATAACGCACTTTATTTTCATATTATTTCAAGATGTAATTAGTCGGTATAGACATTGAATATCGAACGATGAAAATGTGTATTTCAACTAATTTTTAAGCAAGTACACAGTAAATATATTTGAAAAACATTGAGCGATATTTTTTGCAAATACGAAAAATTGAAATTTTCTTGTGTATTTTGTTAGCTTCAAGTCTAATTGTTCTTAGAAACGTTTTTTTTCATAGCTCTATACATGTTTTACACATGAATAATATGCTATTGTAAGGAAATTATGAACATCTTTCTCAATGGATTATTGAATCTAATTGTTGTATGTAATTTTTTATAGTGAATTGATAAATAAATAATTTTAATTTCAGTTAAGCTCAATTCGTTTTTCAACTATGGGTGAATTCATAGTAGATACTGATGGATATACAGTGGTTTATACAGATGGAGCATGTCTTTCAAATGGCAAAAATGGTGCAGTTGCAGGAATTGGAGTTTGGTTCCGTGGAGGAAATCCTTAGTAAGTGAATAGATTTGCTATGAAATTGATTGTTTCAATAAAATATTATTGCAAACTATTCCAAAACTAAATGTATTTTTCAGTAATTTATCACAGCCAGTGATAGGAAGAGCTACAAACAATAATGCTGAAATACAAGCAATCACTGCAGCAGCAAACCAAGCAAATATAGCTGGTATTCGATGTCTCAAAATTTTTACTGATTCGCAATTTGCAATAAATTGTGCCACAAAATGGATATATACCTGGAAGAAGAATGGTTGGAAAACCCAAGATGGAAGAAATGTCATAAATAAATCAGAACTTCAAGTTATGGAAATGGCATTGGAACCTTTGAATATTAAATTTGTTAGTTTGATATAATTTAAAAATGCAATTCATTATTTAAGAAAATACAAATTTACTTATTATTGCTTTAGGTTCATGTCAACAGTCATCAAGGGAACTATGGTAATCAGGAAGCTGATCGATTAGCTCGTGCAGGTTGTGAAAAGTATAAGCCAGAATATTATTATGATTCTTCATCGAGTGATGACTGACATATGTAGTGTAGATAAGAGTTTGATATTAAAAAGTTAATCTAGATTATGTACAACTTTTAATATGTTTAACATGTTTATTTATATTTACTACAAAAATGTAAAAATAAATTCCATCAAAATTACACATATGGTTTATTATCTTTGAAAAAAAATGTTACTTATATAAAATGATTATGCAAGAAACATTGCTTAGAAAATTGATAAATTTGTTTTTCAAGATATTGGTAAAGATATGCCACTAAAATTGATACTGCTAACCTGATAAATTACAACAAATCCTGCTCAACAATAAAAAAAGTCTTTTGAACTATTAGTAAGAATTGAAATAGTAGTCAACAATTAAGAGTCTACCAAATAATATTTTCAAGTACTATCGAAAGATGTTAAAAAAACGTCAATAAAAATATAATATTATTTCAGCAGTTAAGTCCAGTTTGAAATCAGAAATATTTGCTTTTCTTCAATAAAATCTTTATACAACTAATAGTTAGAGATTTTCATTCGGTCACACTAAACAAAGTTACTTCTATGCTATTTATTTTAAAATTGTTCATTAGAAAGCAGTAAATCTGTAAATGATGGTCATCAAGATATTATTTCTCACACTTTTCCAATTTTGGAAATATGAAAATTGAAAAAATAAAATGCAAAATTTCAATGTGTCTTATTACACTAAAATCTACGATTAAATAGCCTTAATAAATATTTTTAGTCATTTTGCTTAATTAAACTAAATGATGTCATATAAAGATACCTCGTGCCCGTCAATTTTGACTATTTCGATTATCATTTCATGTTACAATCAGAGGTATTTTAGGCGAATAATAAAGTACACAAGTTGTAAGTTTTACATCAGTGCATGAGTCGGTAACCTTTCGACTCCTCACTATAACGAACAAATATATATGATTTACTTTTCGGGTCCTATTTTTTTTGCAACTTTTTCGGAACGTGTGCGTAGGCAGTGCAATCAAATACGCGTAAATGATAGACAAACTCGAAATAGATCCAGTTCATAGTTCTTCTGGTATTTTTCCTCCAATGCTTGAGCTTGGTGCGATCTATTTTTCAGATAAACACCAGGTGCTGATGCTTCAGTCTAAAATTCTTTTGGTAATTTCGCTTCAAACAGCATGCTTTTTGCTCTCTCGTCATTGTTATGTTCGTTCGTTCAAAGTATAGTTAATTTAATATGTTTAATATAAATTTTTGATTTTTCTAATTTAGCATTCACTTATTCGCCGCCGTTATCAGTTCTGAATGTTTTTATTTTCTTGCCGGTTTGTTTTTCAACGACGTTGCATGTCCTTTGAAATATTTTCTTTGTTGATTTCGAGTTCGAGCGTTTAGCTATATTAATTTAGACTGTAGCTTTGGTAAGAATAATTATTGTGTCTTTTCTAACAATCATTCATTAATTTGCTAAACTTAGTACGCTGTACATCGATAATCCCACAATGTTAAGATCCCTTATTATCGCATATTTGTGGAAAATAGGTGGTGTGGTTGGTATATATAAAGGAGGTTACATTTGTGAATTATAAAAAAATTATTATAGGGCGAAAAGCATGCAGTATACAGAGGCTCTCTATTAGAACTGACTAAATGCTCCTGTCGCCAAGGGCCTCACTAATTGCAATTCGATTTTCATTTCACACTTCTTGAAATCCGCGATCACAAATCGCCAAACACATGGTAACGTAATGCAGACACATTCTTTTCTCAAAATCAATTAAACATACCCGCACGCTCGTAAGCATTATACATACTCTTATGTTTTCCACAGCCCACATTTGTATATTTGATGAGTTAAGTTTTCATCGATATCATAAGCCTCGATTAATAGAATTCATAGTAGAAACTGTTTACAAAGTGTTGGAAGGTGTTTATTGACGATATCTATTTGCAGAATGAAGCTAAGCCAATAAGGTTTTTTTCAATATTAGATTCGTGAATCTATACTACTGACCGCAGTAGACCTAGAAAGTTAATAGTTGAGTCATAAGAACCTTGTGTATATTATTCCATTTTGAACTGCTTGCTATTTAAAAATATATTTATTATTTATATTTAAAAATTTCTAGCAAATAAGTTTAGTTTACAAACAAAGACATGTAAATTATTTATCAAAATTCATAGATAAAGAAACTTCACTCGAATTAGAAGATTGTAGTAACATTCCAAAACACATTAGAAAACAAACATTCATATTACAATTGTTACTCAGATACATCTCATTGTAAAAAGCTTCTTTTCATTAACGCAATTCTTATTTATTTACACATCAAGTTACAATGAAACGGCAACAATGCAAGAAACATCAAAAAAGTATTTTTAAACAAAAATAAGATTGTGAAATATTGGCGATATGATTGGCGCGTGTAATGACGGAATAATTTACGAATTATTTTGAAATGCAATATATTAAAGTTACTAATTTGGTTATACAAACGGAAAATCATGTGTTAACTATCTCAATAAACTAACGTTAACTGCCCTTGTCGCTAGGTTTAGCTCTCAATCCAACGCGTTTTCCTTTTAGATAAACAGATGATGACAAAAAAGCATACAACACTTCCGTGCACAAGGACTTGATTGACGCGGACTAAAGAAAGCAAACGGCTTCAAATCTCGTTCCGCACACGTATACATAAAAAATCAAGTTAGATACACGTGCATACAAGTAATAATTGAGAACTGTGTGGCCTTGTAACCGGCTTCGCTACGCTCGGGCGCAAACGTTCACATCGGACGAAAAGTATACTACGTGCTTTGTTCTTTCTTGGAACGTGCCTTATCTAACCGAAAACTCATAAACACTTGATACGCTCGCCTTTCCTATTATGTACCCACTATGTTTTCTTTTATTTTTAGCTGAAATTCAGTCTATTTAAGGACAGTTTCAAGAAAGTGTCGATCGCTGAATTTTTTCTACGTGCCTTTTTGGAAAACGGCTATTAAGTAAGCACGTGCAGCGCAGAATTTAAATCCGATCAACTTGCATTTGTTATTGCTGTTTAATCGTTTCCTAGCAAACAGGTGAATAAATAATACTTTGCGATAACGCACTTTATTTTCATATTATTTCAAGATGTAATTAGTCGGTAAAGACATTGAATATCGAACGATGAAAATGTGTATTTCAACTAATTTTTAAGCAAATACACAGTAAATGTATTCGAAAAACATTGAGCGATATTTTTTGCAAATACGAAAAATTGAAATTTTCATGTGTATTTTGTTAGCTTCAAGTCTAATTGTTCTTAGAAACGTTTTTCATAGCTCTATACATGTTTTACACATGAATAATATGCTATTGTAAGGAAATTATTAACATCTTTCTCAATGGATTATTGAATCTAATTGCTGTATGTAATTTTTTATAGTGAATTGATAAATAAATAATTTTAATTTCAGTTAAGCTCAATTCGTTTTTCAACTATGGGTGAATTCATAGTAGATACTGATGGATATACAGTTGTTTATACAGCGTGTTTTTCAAATGATGCAAATGCAGGAATTGGAGTTTGGTTCGGTGAAGGAAATCTTTAGTAAGCAAGTAGATTTGCTATGAAATTGATTGTTTCAATAAAATATTATTGCAAACTATTCCAAAACTAACTATATTTTTCAGTAATATATCACAGGGAATGATAAAAGAAGCCATAGACAATTATGCTGAAATACAAGCAATCACTTATGCAGCAAAACACGCAAATAAAGCTCGTATTCGACGTCTCAAAATTTTTACTGATTCGGAATTTGTAATAGATTGTGCCACAAAATGGATATATACCTGGAAGAAGAATGGTTGGAAAACCCAAGATGGAAGAAATGTCATAAATAAATCAGAACTTCAGACAATGGAAATCGAATTGAAACCTATGAATATTAAATTTGTTAGTTTGATATAATTAAAAAATGCAATTCATTACTTAAGAAAATACAAATTTACTTATTATTGCTTTAGGTTCATGTCAACAGTCATCAAGGAAACTATGGTAATCAGGAAGCTTATCGATTAGCTCGTGCAGGTTGTGAAAAGTATAAGCCAGAATATTCTTCTGATTCTTCATCGAGTGATGACTGACATATGTAGTGTAGATAAGAGTTTGATTTTAAAAAGTTAATCTAGATTATGTACAACTTTTAATATGTTTAACATGTTTATTTATATTTACTACAAAAATGTAAAAATAAATTCCATCAAAATTACACATATGGTTTATTATCTTTGAAAAAAAATGTTACTTATATAAAATGATTATGCAAGAAACATTGCTTAGAAAATTGATAAATTTGTTTTTCGAGATATTGGTAAAGATATGCCACTAAAATTGATACTGCTAACCTGATAAATTACAACAAATACTGCTCAACGATAAAAAAAGTCTTTTGAACTATTAGTAAGAATTGAAATAGTAGTCAACAATTAAGAGTCTACCAAATAATATTTTCAAGTACTATCGAAAGATGTTAAAAAAACGTTAATAAAAATATAATATTATTTCAGCAGTTAAGTCCAGTTTGAAATCAGAAATATTTGCTTTTCTTCAATAAAATCTTTATACAACTAATAGTTAGAGATTTTCATTCAGTCACACTAAACAAAGTTACTTCTATGCTATTTATTTTAAAATTGTTCATTAGAAAGCGGTAAATCTGTAAATGATGGTCATCAAGATATTATTTCTCACACTTTTCCAATTTTGGAAATATGAAAATTGAAAAAATAAAATGCAAAATTTCAATGTGTCTTATTACATTAAAATCTACGATTAAATAGCCTTAATAAATATTTTTAGTCATTTTGCTTAATTAAACTAAATGATGTCATAAAGATACCTCGTGCCCGTCAATTTTGACTATTTCGATTATCATTTCATGTTAAAATCAGAGGTATTTTAGGCGAATAATAAAGTACACAAGCTGTAAGTTTTACATCAGTGCATGAGTCGGTAACCTTTCGACTCCTCACTATAACGAACAAATATGTGTGATTTACTTTTTGGGTCCTATTTTTTTTGCAACTTTTTCGGAACGTGTGCGTAGGCAGTGCAATCAAATACGCGTAAATGATAGACAAACTCGAAATAGATCCAATTTATAGTTCTTCTGGTATTTTTCCTCCAATGCTTAAGCTTGGTGATCTATTTTTCAGATAAACAGCAGTTGCTGATGCTTCAGTCTAAAATTCTTTTGGTAATTTCGCTTCAAACAGCATGCTTTTTGCTCTCTCGTCATTGTTATGTTCGTTCGTTCAAAGTATAGTTAATTTAATATGTTTAATATAATATTTTTGATTTTTCTAATTTAGCATTCACTTATATGCCGCCTTTATCAGTTCTGAATGTTTTTATTTTCTTGCCGGTTTGTTTTTCAACGACGTTGCATGTCCTTTGAAATATTTTCTTTGTTGATTTCGAGTTCGAGCGTTTAGCTATATTAATTTAGACTGTAGCTTTGGTAAGAATAATTATTGTGTCTTTTCTAACAATCATGCCTTTTTGGAAAACGGCTATTAAGTAAGCACGTGCAGCGCAGATTTGTAAGTCTCTGCGATTCCCGTACAACAAAGCACCTTTGGTTTGAAGTGGAGCCAAGTTATTTGCAAGTTTTTTTCAGATTGATTAAGGGAAGGGGGAACTTGGTTGAAAAACATATTATATCAAGTATTTTCTAAATGTCTTACCAACCATGAAGACTATATAAAGAGTATCGACAAGATTATTCATAGATCTAAAAAAATGTACAGAAAATATGCTATTCATGAAAAATCTAAATATGTTTACGTACAAAAGTATAATATGATGCTTCAACATTTCCATCATTTCCTATGTAAAATGTAGGTCATTGTCGTTCGCTGTATCGGTTTAACAAAGTTATTCAAACTCGCTCCGCATAAATACGAAGAAATCTTTCTCATTTTACTTGTCAGAATTGCATTTATCTATATTTTATTATACATTTCGAGATAGCCGCTAGTAAACATAAGCATTTGAATGTTTATTCGGAAAATAACAAAATAAAAATACATACAATGGCAAATCAGGTGTAAATACTTCTAGTATTGCAAAAAAATATTAGTTATATAGTTATCTCGTAAATCCGAAAAATGTTATGTAAATCAGTCGATCTTATAGACGGCATGGTACAATGTTTTTCGGTCATTCATAGTTTAATTTGACTTTTAAGTTGATTCAATTAGACGAAATGTACGATGAAATACTTTGAAGAAATCCTATATGAAGAACAAATTAAAAAAAAAAGAATTCATCGCACGTTATAGGTAATGCGCTATTCAACAGGTCTAAACTTCAGCGTAATCGGTGAAGTCGAGTAGACGGAGGTATACTTTCCCAAAACTATATTGCCCAGCTCATTCCGCAGTCCGCACTGCTCCAGTCAGTCGCACGAAAGCTGTTGATAGGTGTTGATATGTAGAACAGTTTTAACTACAGTTATTTATTCGAAGTGTTAAAGGTAATGTCGGATTGAGAGCCTTAAGCATGTATACGTGTGCGTGCACTCATGTATGGAGGTATAGAAGCAAGTATAATAGGAAAATCCCGCAAGTTATAGACTGCGTGAGCATGAGCCTGGAGAGCCGTGCGCCAATGGTTATCGGTTTCACAAGCTTTTAAGCTTCTGCACAACTTAGATAATAAACTATATTCAACTTAATAGTCGCTCTCATCCTTATGTCATCGCCCCTTTGCTCGTTCAATGCCACAGTAATAATTATAATTTTTAAACACACGCACGCATACACAGCACTTGCGAGTGATTTTTGTACGTAAAGAAGTATTTTATTGTATAAATAATCCCAAATAATTTTTAAATTTACTTCGATTTCGCGTATTTAACTAAAATTTGCACGAACCCATCGAACGAAGAGTAGTATAATAATAAATTAATGTATACAAATTTATATTAGTAGCAATTGTGTTCATGATTATGTATTCTCAAAATTCCAATTGTAACTAATAACAGATTGATCAGGATATTTAGCGAAACCAACGAAATCATAAACACGAACAACGTTTGCGGAATGACAAATGTGTATTTTCTGTATTTTACTGATTTACGTCTGGTTTATGTCGGATCGCATTCGGATATGGGGTTTCAGGTGATATGAAGGAAAACTACACCGAGCGACGTTTACGGAGTTGCATTTGTATTTTCTGTTTCTGTTATTGATTTCCGGCGTGCAATTGTAACCAGTAATGTTTCGACTGAAGTTCAGATGAAACAAAGACACATGTAATGAGCAGACTGTTCGTGAAGTCGGATTTGTATTTTCTGTTTGTATATTACTGATTTCTGTCGTGCAATTATTATAAGATTATTAATTATTAACGCGTGATACTATTATTACGGAGTAATAGATTTTTCTGGAGAAGGTATGGTTAGTTTTCAATCTACATTTAAAATATCTTGGGATCTTTTTGATATAATTAAAATCAAAGTTTTTGCTGGCTTTGTTTACCTATAAATTCGGAAATTACTTTTTTAAAATTATTACATAATTTTCAATTTATGTAATGAATGGTTCTTTCAAGATATCTTATTTATTCTTCTGCATTTCTTAACTTTTTCTATATGTTATGGCTTTGTGAGGTACTTAGAGATTGTTTTTTCCATAAGTTTTGGTTGAAGCAAAAATAACTAAATAGTTTCTTATAAAAGCTTGACAATGGAATTATTCATATTATGTAATTAAAGAGTACGCAATTTTAATAACAAATAGGAGTACATCTAATATAGACAGCAGCTCATTATATTAAATCTGTTTTCTAAATAAGTACTATTTTCGTAGGTCCATTGAACTGAAGTGAAGTAAATGAGTTATTACTATGCAGTAGCTAATGGGCGCAATACTGGAGTTTATGTAAACTGGTAAGCTCATATAATATTTGCTTTTCGATTGTTATTTCCGAAATTAACACATTGTAAATTACATTATTTAAAGAGTCTGTCTCGGCAACTGATATCGCGTGCGCAAAGTCCCTCGGGTGCGTAAGAAAACGTTGTGTACGCAAACAACCTGGAGAATGTTTAGTGTTGCAATATGAGAAATTTTGGCTCTATCCCCTGATATCAACTTCGGGATTTTTTATTTACTTATTGCGATGTCCATGATACGCGAGAGTGGTATAGCGACTTTGCAATTCAGTCTATTTATTTATAGGACAGAGCCATTGCAGGATTGAGTCCTCCCGCCGCTGAGCGCCGCCCAACCAACGCTCGATCGTCATATTCAATTGATTTTTTACAGCATGTCTTAAATCTATCGTCTCAAACTGTGTCGAGTTCAAGAACTAGCATTAATTTATCGCACACACAGTTGAGAGAGGCCTTTTCCTTCCTTCTTTTCAGGCAATCGAAAAGGCGGGACGTGCTAAACCTTTTTTTTTGTGACTCGGTCAGGTGATAAATGTCTCCCCGAAGTTTAGCTATTTACGACCTTCGACATTTCTCTATATTGTGTCTTTACGATTTCCGGAGGTCGATGAGAGGCGAGCGTTCAATATACGTGTCGCAGATGTATAAACATCGATTTCCACATAGATAAAAAAATATGATGTCGTTTGCTCGTTGCCGTCCGTAACAGACATCTCTGTATCAGAAATGTGAACCGCAAAATCGTACACTATAAAACGGTTGTTTTTCAGCTATACACTATAGCTAAAATTAAATTCGCAAACCTTGTATTCATTGCCGAAATTGCGCGAGGGGTGTTAAAATGGAAATGCAAATATTGTAAAATAAATTAATTTCATTAATGAAGAAAATTAATTTTAATGCCATTGTCAAAATATTTCATCATTCTTAAAATATTTGTATATCCATCGTTAGACAATTCAGTTGCTGCATAAGCAGTGGTCTCAACTTTTTTCTTGGCACAGTGTATAAGTATGTTGGCATATGTCTCCTTGCTTCGTGCAGCGGAAAGTGGCAGCGAAAACAGACCCAGCAGCCCGATTGTTTTGAATTTAGTTCTAAAAATTTAACAATGTACTCTTCTAATATTGTGCTTTTGATTTAAACAATAAAAAATATCGTTTTTTTCCATCAATTTATAAAGGAATATCCTTTAAAGAATTACAGTTCAGTCAAATTCTACATTAATATGTGCACTCAACATTGTGACTGCTATAATGATACCATTTTTTGCTCATCACTTCAATATTATATCTCGATATAATTTGTAGATACGGTGTATCATATTGTTGGAACCTTGTATGATATATCAGCTGATTCTTCGGTGGCCCTTTGCTTTTTATATCCGGTTTGCAATCAACATAATCTATAAGTTTATACAAAATAAAATCGCAAAAACCGGCGCAGCAGCTTGAACAATTTTTGAAAATTGTTTATATATGAGGAGACGCCTGCATTCCTTTTTCTAAGTAGCTTATATGTATGCAATGTTTTCCCATTCGCACCCGAGAGATAGACCTTGATTACGCGGTATCGGCCGTCGAAATAAATTCTTTTTTTGTTTAAATTATCAATAGGAATGACTGCAAAGCTCAAGTCCACCAGTATTCTGGTTCAAATTTTAAGAAGTTTGAATCAAGAGCTGAAGCTGAACATTTTGTTGAGAGTAGAAGTTCTTCATCTTTCTTCTCTACAGAAACTCATCTCTTAGTTCTTACTCAAATTATCCTTCCTTCTTAAGTGGTGATTCTTCAAACTATTCTTCATGTAAATCATATAGTTCTTAGGTATAGAAAAATATAAAACATGTACTTCTTCATTCAATAATGTTTAACAAAAATCTTTTATTTAAACAGAGTGATAAATTGCGACATGATGAGCATGGATATATTGATGTATGCACAGATGATGCTTGCAACTCTAATGGTGGATATGAAAAGCAATGGCTGGAATTGGCATATGATTTGGTGGTGATTTTTGTTAGTGAGTGTTAAATTATCATTTTCTATTTACTGAAGTAAAATATGATACTGCATAGATTTGTTTATTTCTTAATCTAAAATTAATTTATACCAATAAATGATTTTTCAGCAATATATCTGCACCAGCGAGTGGTCATGCCACAAATAATAATGCTGAGATTTGAGCAGTACAGAAACTGCCAAGCAGACTCAGAGAGTAGAAGTTGATAAGCTCAGAATTATTACTGACTCTGAACTTGTCAAATGTAAAAATGAATAGATGCCTAAATGGAAGGAAAATGGCTGGAGAGCTTCTACTGGAAAACCTGTGGCAAATAAGCAAGAGCTTATGGAGATGGAAAAGGCATTTAAACTACTGAATGTACAATTGATAAGAATAGAATTTGCAGTAACGAATTAATCTCATTTTCCAATAAAAGATAATGAATTTTCTCTTTCTTCTGAGAAAAATATTCAAAGTCACAATGGTGTGTATGGCAACGAAAGAGTTGATAAATTGGCTCGTGAAGGGAGCAAACTGTATTAAAACGTATTGAACTTAATTTGTTCTTTAATGTTCTTTTCATTATACTGAAAACTTACTTAAAATACTTGAACGTATTAATATAAATACTCAACATTTTGTATCTCTTTTTTAGAAATAAATATAATCAAATACTTTAATTTATTTCAATTTTCAGTCATGGAAAGTATATACACATTATATCATTATTATTATTATTGTAGTCAAAGTAAAAGTAATTTAACGAAATTATTTAATGTAATTTACTTTGTTTTAAATTGATTAACTTAAGTAATTAATGTTCTTACTTTAATAATGCATTTTCAAATGGGGAGACAAGGCTATTGATAAAACGAGAAGTTTACGGAACGAGTCGGAGGTCAGTTCTATAACGAATATTATTATAAAGCTTGTTCGCATCAGTGAAGGGACAGTATTTTTCTGCATGTGAGTCGGTAACAAGCGTCAAAAGTGCGATTTTGAGGTTCGAATGTGGAAAATACTATTATTTTGAACCTTAAACTTCAATTTTGTAATTGAAAATTGCACTCACAGTTGAAATTTTAAATGAGTACTAATTAATTTACTCTTTTTACACTAACAACTTAACACAGTACCCCGTGGGTGGCGCTATATGTTAGTGGTTTTTGAGTGATGCTGATTTTAATTAACACTACTGTCAGTAGTATCTATCCGTCCAACAGATCATCTGACCATCGACCAACTCACCATATCAATCAGTACTGCCATTAACCCTTTAACTGTTGTCTGCTGTGCAGTGTGCTGTTGTACTGCTGATGATAAAATACAGAGGTTAACGATGACGTTTATGTATTTGCTGTAAATAATAAGTTATTGTATATTTTGTTTTGACGTGACTCCAGTAAACAATTGTCTAACAAAATATGCATTAATAATTAATAGTTTTACTTATAATTCAGATATTAATATTGTACCAGTTATGTCAAATCTTTATGCAAAACAAATACTTATGTGAAAATTGTTTTGGTTGCATTCATTTTAGAATTATATTTTGATTTTTGAAATAGAAAATGGCTTTAAACTCCAGTAAACATAAGTTTATTTATGATTTGCCTTTTGAAGAAAAAGCAGAGTTATGTAGAATGCTGAATCAGAATGAGAAATATGAGGAATTGGCAGGTAAATAATTATGTTACTTTATTTTTATAGTTAAAACAGGTCTTAATTTCTTATTTATTTATTAAAAGGTTTGATGGGATATGACGTTTCCCAGATACAAACTTTAAGATGTGAGTACAATCCAACGGATGAACTTTTGACAAATTGGGGACATCATAATCACACTATTGCAGAATTATTTATGTTATTGTCTAAAATGAAGCATTATCAAGCTATGGTTCCTTTACTATCTTTTGTAGATAGTAAATTCCATCCTCTTTTTTACAATGGCGAAGGAAATCTTCAAAAACTTTTTAGAAAAGATAAACAACTTCTCAAACTAGGAGCACAAAATTTCAATCAAGATAAGATACCTGATAAAAATAAAGCTAAAGTAATAGTAAATAACACTACAGATGATGATCGAAAAATACTAAATTGTGAGAATTTTGAACTACAAAATGAATTACCAAGTCATTCCAATAATTTGCTAGCTTCAATACCTGAAATATTCTCAACAACATTACCTCGAATCTCATATAATGAATTAGCTGCTGCTACAGAAAATTGGAAAAGAGAAAATCTGTTGGGTAAAGGAGGCTTTGGGACGGTTTTTAAAGGTTATTATTAATTGTATTACAAAATATTACAAAATTTATTGTATTTTAATTATATTTTTCTTCTTATAGGTATTTGGAAAAATACTGAAGTAGCTGTTAAAAAAATTGAGCCAAGAGGTTCTGATTATGATGAAAGTTACGCCTTGCAATTAGAGCAATCATTTCGTGAAATAAAAATATTAAATTCTCTACCTCATGAAAACATTTTGCCACTTTATGCATATAGTATTGGTGGTGAGGCACCTTGTTTGGTATACCAATGCATGAAAAATGGTTCTTTAGAAGATCGTTTGCATTTGAGACATGGGACGCCACCTTTAAATTGGCTCCAACGACAAGAAATTGCTAAGGGAACTGCCAGAGGATTGCAATATTTGCATACTATACATGAAAAACCTCTCATACATGGTGATATAAAAAGTGCTAACATTTTATTGGACAAAAATTTTGAACCGAAAATTGGTGATTTTGGTCTAGCACGAGAAGGTTCAGTTGATGATTCAATGAAAGTGAGTTTCTTTCAAGTTTTATTGCCTATGTCGTGACTGTAATAATTGTGGATTTTTTCAATCAATATTGAACATATATCAAAGTTGAAAAGTCAGTCACAACTAATTAAATTCACTCTTATAATTTCAGGTCAGTAGAATACAAGGAACTCGACCTTATTTGCCTGAAGAGTATATTTTTGGAAGAAATTTATCGACGAAAATCGATACATATAGTTATGGTATAGTTTTATTTGAATTAGCGACTGGTTTGTCGGCCCATGACAAGACTAGACCAATAAATAAACGTCTGAAAGACTATGTAGACAGTTTAAACGACACAGATATTTATCTATTGAAAGATAAGAAAGCTGGAGAAATGTATGACGAAATCTTTAGATATCTAATGTCACTAGGGAAATGGTGTTCAAACAAATTGGCTGAACATAGACCAGAAATGGCTGTTGTTTATAAAAAATTTAAAAACTGATTAAATAATTTTAATTGTACAGATTTTCTACTAATGTTTTTGTTGTAGATTTTGTAATTAATGTTGCAGAATAAGTTTGGAGTTATTTGAAAAACAAACTGTTGTAAGAAGTCAAAAATTATTTTGTAGGAGTAATTTCTTTTTGAAAATTATCATTTTTTTCGTCATATTGTCTCTCGTGATCATGATGAGAGGTTTTAGATAACTGTTTTCTTACTTGAAATTTTCATGCTTTGTTGTATAATTTTTGTGAAAACTTTGTGATTGAATATGATAATGATATTCAGTATGTACAAAAAATATTTTACACTTCCATTCTTGTATATATTTTTGAATTAATATATTTATACACAAAAATAATAGTAAAATATGCTAAGATTTACTTTTGTAAATCTAAGTATATTTCAAACTCCGCTTGCCTTGATGTGATAATTTAATTGAAATTGTTGTTTTATACTTCCGTACAAGTTGACTAAGTTGACTATATTAAACACACACACACGCCCACTCAAATGTGTGTGTGTGTGTGTATGTGTATGTGTGTGTGTGTGTGTGCGTGTGTAAACCTGTATGTAGAATACTTTTTAGCAATATATGCGATATTCAATCATCTGATATTTGATTAAATCGTAATTTGTTTTCAAAAATATTTTTAAAAAATGCATAATTAAGTAATTCATTTATGTTTACGTTTGTATTTTAATAATTGTTTTCAAATGTTGATCGATCAATGATGTTTCAAATGTGTATTCCTAGATGGCGTCCTACGGTATTTTTGTAAATTATTATACACTGTATAATAGTTGAATTTTATTAAAAATTTTAATAATAGTTATTATTAACAGAATAAGGTGCAAAAATTGTTAATTAAAAGCTACTTGTATACGAATTTTTAATTACAACAAAGTTATGTGTAATATTACGTATATTTGTCATATATAACTAATATTTGTACATTAACCTTCGAAATAAATAATTTTTGAACTTTTTTACAAATATTAGTCCTAAAATAGTATCATTTTGTGTATATTTTTCAATGATAGAAATCAAATTATACGAGTACTATATACGATGATTTAAAAATTATGAACATTTTCTTTACTGTGTTTACTATCATAGAGTTTCCAATGATCTCCTGGAAATGCTTACTTGAAGTCTTAGCTTACTAGTTACTTTCATAATTGAACCATCATCTACTCAATATAGTCTTTCGTTTTTTGATCTTAATTTCATAGTAATCTAATTTGGGTATTGTATGAATATTACTACTACTTAAGTTCGTTTTTGTATTCTTACAGTACCTCGTATTGAAAAATTATTAAGGCGTTAATAAGTAAAGGTAAATAAATTAATTTTTATTTTTGTGTAATATTCTCTTTTTTTCCAGCGATTATACAAATTTTGGATATTGGATGGGATATTAGGAGCATAAAAATATAACTTAATCTCCTTACGTGGCACGTTTGTGGTATATTTTATTCTCTGTAGTAAATTGCTGAAATTAATGAAAACCCACGATTTTTTGGGTGTTCTATAGAATTTAATAAAAAATGAAAAATAATAATATCTTTTTCACTTACATATTTGCTGCTTGTTTTTTTATTTTGCCCTCTACAAGTAATTAAAAAAAACAAATGGCCGGTTTCAACGTCATTTTATTCCTGCCATTACTTCCAAAGTTATGCTTTAGTCAAGTCAACAATGAAATTGAAACATATCTTTTCGAATAAAGCCGAATATTGAAATAGGTTGAATCGTTGTCTAGATATGCGTTGATATATATAAAAAAAGTCAAGTCTCATACAAATGCTTCTTCTTTAAGTCGGTACATTTTTGGGTGAAATATCTCATAAAGAAATTACATTTTTTCCAAAAAACACTATAGTTTACCTTATTATTTAACAGACCAATCACCGAATAGTCAAATTTTTCAGTGGCATTTTCTATATGTAGTCCGAAAACTTCCTCATGTATTGTTCGCAAATCCTCGCAAATAGCGTCGCAGTTGCATCTACATATATGCTTGCTGAGAGCGGAGCTTTACCTGCGCATTGCCAATACGTGTGGCGGTTAGCTACGAATTTCTCAATTATTCGCTTCATCGATTATTGTACAAAGCCAGCTGATTCCTCTCTTACACAGATTGTTATACGCAAATGTGCACCTGTATAATCCGTTTGGTTTTTTATATTGCACAGTAGCCATTTCGCTTCATAGCAGATTGTTAAGGATTTGCTTAGCTTTCGTACTTAACGATGTATGCACATTGTAATTTCATTTTCAAAGTTTTCTAATTTGGGAGGTAAAACATATTTTGTGATTTCCTTAGGGATATCTCATTTTACAAAAAATAATAAAACGCTAGCAGCAGGATGGCGGAGTGCTTCGTTGAAGAAAAAAAAATTATGTATTTTTTTTATCGTGGCGTCGTTTTGTATTTGGAAAAAAATTATTCAGAGTTAGATGTCAATTTGCGCTAAATGCCGCTCATTTAAGATCGTCCAATATTTATTATCATTATATTTTTAAAATATACTATCGTTTTCATCTATTGTGAGGACGATAATTATAAAATAGGAACGAGAAAAAGCAATGTGTTATGAGTAACAGTTGCATTTTAATATATTGCGAGATGACATCCTTGAATGACAAAGCTCAATAATCATTTATCTAAGTTTGAAATGATTGATAGTTTATAAATTTATTGATGTTATCAAACTTAGGATTTGCATAATCATCTTTTATCAAAAAAGATCTTAGTCGTTTAACGCTTAATTTATCTTCCAATACGTATAACATACTAAAAATAGAAAATATTAAGTTCTAAGAGTAAAGAAAAATATTTATTTATAAACTTGAACAAAGAATCAACGTTCGTTCGAGAAAGACTAATGAATGACGTGTACATTACCTAACTACAGCAGGAGAATCAATTTACAGTATATCGATTTTCATAAATTTCATTTTCTGATCAATCAGAGCCAATTTGCAAGAGTTTGATAGAACTTTGAAGTCTCGTAGGCACGTAGATAGAACCAACACAATAATCGCTACATTTGTCAGTATTATGGAAAACAATTATGGTTAATTATATTATAGCCATTGATTTCAAACGGAAAATAAAACTTTTACAATGTACTAATTGGATGTTAGAGGGCCCATAAGAAAGTATGCAGAGGTCTGCAGTCCACGCAAAAATGGCGACGACCGTGCATGATGCGTACCAACAATATTCTGCAGTCTCAAAGAAGGCATGCAGTTTATTTGTTTCTTGTTTCTGTCAATAACACAGATGAGTTGATCTCGAAAATTGTTGTCATCACGATGATTTGATCCCTACACTGTTTCCGTTCGTTATCCTTTAATTAAAGCCGCGATATTACAGAAGTACTACTTTTAAACTTTGTCGAAGCAATCGCTTTCTTGGTAAAACTAATTTCATAAAGTCTCGTGAAAAGAAAATTTGTTTTCAGGCATTAGATGCTACAAAAACATCATGCAAATTGTGGAAAAAAAATAGCTTTGGATATATGCGTATAGCCAGTTGCAAATTGAAAATCATACGATAAGATATTAATTGTATAATTCACATTTTACTGTATATAATCGAAACGCGAATAAGAATAATGTACTTGAAAAGATAAATAAATAAGAATAACCGATCTCTTGACATTGTTGCAGGCAGTTCTATCAACATAGCGCGTAAGCTAACCGGTGCGGGAAAGTAGATTGTTGTTTCACGTGCGCACGTTATGCCAGAGCGAAGCGAAGCTGGGCTGGCACAGGAGACGAGAATCTCATCGCCGAACGCATTCTAGCCGGAGTATTTTCGAAACGCAACCTGCGGCAAGCGCGAATTTAAAGGCGCGCTTTTCGCCGAGCGCGCGGCAGCGATTTTAGATGTGGACTTGATATATCCATTGCTGACAGAACGAGACGCGAACGAGCTTGCGTGTACCTTCTTCGCGACTGCGGGCAGTTGTTGCGCGTGCAGTGGACCTAGGATGCGACACGGAGCCCTCATCACTCTGCGCCGCGGCGTGAGATTGCAGGCGCGTTCAGTGCGGTTCACCGATTTCATTCCGTTGGAATAATCAAGTCTCGCGAGCGGCGCACGCACGCGCGTTATCCTGCAACCACGTAGCATAAGATATATATTGGGCACATGTCTCGGGAGATTCGCTCAACGGCTTGGCAACTTAGCCTCCGCCTAATGTCGCACACTGATGCACTTGCATCTGTTCCTTTCAGTCCACCGAATCTTCTAATTAAGAGCGGAATATGGAGTAAATCGAAGTAGTAGTTTTATTTTTTTCAGTGTTGTCAAATAATACACCAATAAAATTAGCTTCCCCTCGTTTTTCATATTACTGAATTATTTACTGGTTATCGTTTTCTATGCACGATAAGGCCATATTTATCTCAATATTATCTCTATCAAAAGTATTTACGTTGTTCATTAGCTAATTAACATTAAACAATGTTTCCACTTTAAGCTTGCGTGTACATAGTACATTTCCTATAACGGCTGCGTAAAGGCTTTTTTACACTTTTTACATTTTTAACAAGAAGTTTAAGGCGCTCGAAGGCGAGTACTGTAATAAGTTTCGTCAAATAGTACATTACGATACAAATGCGGGAAAGGAGATTATCGTTTACGCCACACAAGACAATAATCTTCTTTTCCGCACTTGTATCGTATAATGTACTATTTCGCATCGGTTAGGGACAGTATTTTTCAAACAAACGCCTAAGCTGCGATTTGGAGGTTGAAATGCTGAAAATATCGTAAAAGTTGGTATGTGGATCTGCATATCAAGATATTTCAATTTCACTGACAAATTTTGTCGCGGGACATTTGTAAACTCCTGATGTTACCTTTTGTAACCACAAACCTTTGTTTTTCATAAAAATGACTATCAAATACATAGCAATATTTTTTCCTTCACATTTTTTGTTTGTTTATCAAAAATCTAATGTAACCTTAGAATACATATACAGCTCTATTGATCAAGTACTCATTATACCAATATTTGTAAGCACTGCTATCTTTCAAAATGAATTAAATTTATTTGACGTATGAAGCAATAGTTTACATGTATGAATTGATAAGTAACGAGTCTCGAACCTATTTGGTTCGCGAAATTATGGTGCAGTATCGTTCTGCGGTATCGAAATTGCAGTGCGACATAGTATAGTTTCGGGACGATGCTTACAACAAATGCGCATAAATTGAGTACCCAACGCGATCGTCTACAGCTGCGATAGAACGAATCTTTGAACGATTAGTGTTGTTATCAAAAGAAATTCCTCACCTCACAGCATAAAGAAAATGCACCACGTAATCCATTTCTTTCTTCCATTAGGGTATATTTTACCGTAACAAAACATCCGTTCAATTCAATATCGTATTCAATAATTTTCAGATAATTTCTTACTTTGGTGACAAACAACATTTCGAAATTCATATCCACTCTCAGTTTGAACCCAACCCAACCCCCAATATAAATATATTAACCATACAGCAATTCATCGGTCAAGTTCAGTAATAATTACAAAATAATTTTGCGATATGGCAAATCACGTATTTTGGATAATCGATACTTATGCAAATAAGAAGTTATACTCATGTTAAAAGAATAAACTTACATACTAAAAATTACAAAGCTTTACGCCTGCGCAAAGTGCATTTCCGGATGACATCCTTGTAAGTTGTAACAATTAGTGGTAACTTGTAATTGTGCTATTATTTCTTTTAGAAACAAATTTATAGAATTGTACTGATGGTAAAATTTAGATTACAGAAGGTACAATTTTTCTGTGAATTTATTTTTGCTTAATTATGTCTTTTTTGTGAATAAATAAGAGGTGAATTATCGATAACGATATTTTTTATTTTTTATGAGAAATATAATGGTACAATAAC